GGGAAAGAGGTCCCCAAGATCACTTTCTGAATGATTAGATAAAATGCAGGAAAGTCCAGATAAATATAAAATCTAACAACAATGATGGTAGTGTTACCTCAGATTACAGTAAAAACATTCTTGTTTCCTTAAAAAAAAAAAAAAAGATTTCAACTTCAACATATCTAATCAATTCAATTGTTTTTTTTTTCAGAAAGATGAATGAAAACAAAAAACTTGTAGAGGAACCACATACTATAAAGCTAACAGAAATAACACATACCCACTTGCTCGTCAGTGAACTGGCAGATATGTAAAAGAAGGTAGCTTTCGCCTCTCCAGCTATGGCTTTTCCAATCATTGTTTTGCCTGTTCCCTAAAGCACAACAGGTGTACACGTCATTGGCCAAAAATGCATGTGCCCCTGCTGCTGAAGAGAAATCAATACTTACTGGTGGACCAAAGAGAAGAAGTCCTTTTCCAGGAGAACGACATCCTCTAAATATATCAGGACGTAATAAAGGCCATATCACCATTTCTGTCACACATTTTTTAGCATGCTCCAGACCAGCTGCAAATATTTTTATACGTTTTAACGTTAATCAGGACAGCTTCAGAAACAGAAACACGTAGGACAACTTGAAACTCTGAAGGCATTTTGAAGCAGCATATTACCAATATCATCCCAACGAACATTGGGATCCTTGTCCATAATCTCATTGCTAACATGTTCAAGGAGACGAGGCTCCAGATTTCTTAATTTTTCTGGAAGCTCGCCATCAGGACCACATAGCATGTCCAAACTAAGATCAACATACTCAACACTTTAGTAATTTTCCATCATCATCAAAATCCAAAACTATAATGAACGAGGGGAAAGGAGGAAAATCAGGGTGAGGGGCAATGGACAAAAGGTTACATAGAACATGTAAAAAAATATATTTCTAGAATCAAATAAAACTAAAATTCAGCCTACTTCCGATAAGAGAAACAATTACTAAGAAGGTATTCAGGTTGAAATTCAAAGGGCTAGTAATGTTAAAAGTATATTATGTAGACAAACTAATGTGCTGAAACTCCTCATGCCACTTCCAAACAAATTATAGTAGATAAAACCAATGAAACCAAACAACCGTGATTTGTGTGGAGCATGTAAGGTTAAAATTTTTGAACAATACCTGTACTACCATCCCACACCACTTACCATCTCTTTGTTGTGTCATCTAATGTGTCCTCAGTCTTTCCAGCAATTCGTGAGGTCACATTTCCTGAGTTGCCACTATTGGATCTGATAGGGGGAATAAAATTACCATGAACACCGCGGCGTGAAAACCCATATGGTCTCCCACCATAACCCCTTGATGCATTACCATCACTCTGTAGAGAGACAGAAGAATTTGGTGATCCAGATAACCCTCTTCTTTGCCTTGCATCCATTTCCTATTTATGGAGTTCAAAAGAGAAATTAGGTCAGAATTAATAAGAAATAGATGATATACATAAAGTTAACCAAAGTTCCACGAGAACTAATTATACATCGACCAAATAAAAAGTACTTCTTTGCATGGCTAGAGGACAGTGCATAATGAGTTACTTCTACCTAAACTATGACTGATAAAGTTCTTCTATTTTATAGAATCAAACTAATCCATACAGCAGCAATATCAAGGAAATAGGGGTTTTAACGTGAGAGAAGCAGAAAGTGAAAAAGCGTCTCCTCAGGCTTGGCATGGTACAAACATCAAAACTGAGAAAAATTGCTGTGAGAAGTGTGAAGCATACTAATTTTGCTTTCGCAGTCACAAATCCATTGCCATTAGCGGCAGCATTTTCTTCAGTGCTTGAGGGGGAATTCATCTTGGGGCTACTAATGTCCACCTGCACACGTTTTGCTCCCAGGGCATTTCCATAAGCTCTTTCTTCCTCTTTGGCTTTTTGATAAGACAAGGAAGTTTGACCTTTGATTTGCTTGTTAAATGGCATCGGCTTTTCTACCATAATGCAGTCCCCGCAACTGCTACTTCCAGAGGTCAAATAGTTCTTGGATGTGCCATTACCTTCCCTTGAGATGTTGTTTCTGAACAATTTCATTTTTGCTTGATTCGTAGTTTTCAACACCTTGCTACTCAACTTATCCTTCGTCTTCAATTGATCTTCCTGAGGTGAAAAGAGTTCTTAATTAGCATGAAAACATAAATGTCAAGAAAATGCGTTAAGACAAACCATATAAAATTAATGTTTGGAAAATTAATACCAATTCATTTACAGCCATTCCCCTTGGCTGCTGAACAAGAGCTCGAAAGTATTTCGACTGCTTAATCTTCTCAATGTCAATATCTACTCCTGTGCTGAAAACACATCCAGGAGCTTTCTTTGCCAGCTCAAATGCTTTTCTGGAGGAATATACCATTCAAACTATTACCAATTTTAAGGAGAAATCTAAAGCAACACAAAATGCAGCTTCGTAACACCAAATGTAGCTTTGAAACGCTTCTTAACCATTCAGAGATCGAGAAAATTGATTGCAAACGCCATTGTGCGTATCTCAAGTCTGACATCGTTTCTACGACTACCTTATTCAGAATAAAAGCACTGCAAAGTTACTTTCTGAGTAAATCTACTTGAAAATGCACCCTGAGACCTCTATCTTAGATATTGTTACTATACTATTAATTATGTGAGCAATTGAGCTCAAAATAGTGGACATGAAACTAAAATTCTTACTTGGCTTGTCATCTCCCAAACGCTTCCAATTTAGAACTTTCAATCTCCTTAAAAGAATTCATATCAACAAATCTCCAGCAGAATGTTTAGGTCCAAAATAAAAAACACATTGAACAAACCAAAATGAAAACTTAATGAAGTGCTAAGACTTGAGAGATCCAGAAGTTGATCTTCATCACCTTCCAATTGAAACCACTTTCCATGAAAATCAGACTCAGGAAACTCAGAAACCAAACCAAAGAATAAAATTCAAGAACCACGAGACTTAATTCTCTAGAATTCGAGTTTCATCTTCAAATTCAAATCACTTTCCATGAAAAGAATTGTACTTAGAAACCTAAATTCCAAAATGTTCAACAATACAGAGAGAGAGAGAGAGAGAGAGAGAGAGAGACGCGCACCGATCGGAATCGTGAACGAGGGCGCGGCGAGCGGAATCGACATTGGAGAGAGCTTGGCGGCGGATGGGACGGAGGAAGGAGTGGTCAAGGTCGGAGAGAGATTGGGAGTCGAGGAAGCCAAGGAGGCGGAGCCCCAGGACATGAGCCGCCGAGAAGTCGCGCCTCTCGAGGGCGGCTTCGGCGCCGAAGAGGAGCGAATGGAGCCTCTTGAGGTTGTCGTCCACTTGCTTCCGCCAGGACAACTCCTCCGCTGCCGTCATAACCGGCGCCGGCGACGACGAACCACTCTCTCGCTTTCCTTCTTGCTTTCCCGCCATTTTTTCCATGTACTTTTCGTTTTCACCTTCTCAGACAGGAAGTCGAAGCCTTTAAAAACCACGGAGGAACGCGCAGTTTTATTGTCGTTTGGCTTTTCTCATCCATTTTCCGTTTCTTGTCATAACTCTCGATTAGAACCGTTGTTTGGTTTTCTTCTTCATGTCGCTGTCGTTTTACATTTTTTCTTATTTATTGTTGTTTTTAAAATGTACTCGGTTTTTTAAGTTTTCTGTCGTTTTTAAATTTATTGCTGTTTATAAGGTTTGTCTTTTTCTTGTTTTCATCTTTCTATATGCTTTCGTCGGTTTGCGTTCTTTTTTTTTTTTTTTTTTTTTTTTTTTTTTTTTTTTTTTTTTTTTTTGAGCAGCCATCTTTTGTTGTTGTTTTCCTTGAATGTTGTCGTTTTTTGTTTTCCGCCATTGTCTAATTTTTAGGTTGTTTTAATGTTGTCGTTCTTGTGGAGTTATTGGGTTTTTTTGTCGTTCTAAACTATATCGTTTTTTGTTTTATGTCGTTTTATATGTTGCTTTCGTTTTGTCTATCTATAATATTGTCGCTTCGATCTTAGCTTATGTCGCTTTAGTGTTGTCGTCGTTTTATGTGTTCTTGCCGTTCTCTCTTTGTTATGGTCGTTTCAAGCTTACTGTCGGTTTAAGATGTTTTTATCATATTACCATCAAAACGCGTTCAATATAATTGAACATGGTCGCAGGCATAGTCAAATGAGAATTCCGCAACTACACCTTAACAGTGTAGAGTTTGAATCGCCCCATCCCCAATTTCAACAGAAAACCAAAAAAGCCTAAACCGCAATAAAGATTTCTTCTTTGATCTTGTTTGCAAATATTTCGACATTTTAAACTCAAAGACCAAAGTTATACAAGGAAATAACTGAAATAACTATATTAATCGCGACAGCAATAATATAATAATTCCTGCCAAAGACAATCATAAAAAACAAGTCTCTATCAGAGCTTCCGTTGTTCTTTTGATCACCTAATGGAGAAAAGAAACCAACCATAACAACCATCCTAATGACATTAAACAGCGCATTTCAACAAATAATCCAAAATTTTTCTTTTGTCGAAGCCAACATGAATTACACAAAATAAGGCTTCTTAAACAGAAACAGAGTACAAACAACATTTCCTACAATTACAAATCAAGCACATATATAGTTATCGTTTCTCTATTTGTACATAAACCATAATCAGCACAGAAGCAAGGATAACTATCAAAAGGAGCTACAAAGACTATTATCTGATTTCCTAGGCAAGAATCGTAGTCATATAATAGAATGCTTCATCTTCCAGAAAGTACGCCAACCTTAGTTCTCAAGTGAAAGGTCTAATAACCAGAATGTCCTTTCAACAGCTCAAGAATCAGCTTCACCCGCTTCACGTACTTCCCGGAGCATCACTTCCGGTAACCGGCTTGCGGTTCAAATAACGGATGACCGCATCTTCAACCCTGATACAATTAATGACAAATTAATGCATGCATGTATGTATGTAAATGCACACACATATGAAGCATCTGACCATGAGAAAGATTTTGGAAACATAATGTTAAAAGCACTTCAAATTGGTTGACTTCTGGTCAAATTTATACATGAGCACCAGAGGATTATATGTATGGATGAGCTTAAAGATAATCAACGACGACAAAGAATGAATGAGCTTACCATGGTTGATTGAAGAAATCTGCGCGGCGTTCTTTTTCAGCACTGCGACTTCCTTCTCCAGTTACAAGCTTCAGATCTTTGCTCTGGGATTCAATCAACGTGTTAATAAATTCCACTGGTGACTGGCTAAAGCCCAGGAAAAAGGCCCGCCTCCTACGGTGCTCGTGGATTTTTCTTATTGCTGCACATATAGCTTCATCGCAGGAATCAATCTCTTTGCACTTCTCTGCATTGGCCAACAGAACAGACAATTCTCTCTGAATAGGGAAAGGCACATCAACCAACACATCATAGCAAGCAGTTCCGACCGGACTGTTTCCCGAAAGCTTGATCTTGTGCTCCAAATGTATAGGCTGTGGAGGGAACAAATGCTGAGATATCTTCTGTGAGACCATGGTGAATTTCATCTTATCTTCCCCGAAAACTTTCTGGAGGGGTGGATCGCAATTGAAAAAAGAAGGGTCATGTGGGTTCTGCAATTTCCTAGCCTTTACATACTGCCAAATAGCGGCTATTATTCTCGGACGGGTATCAACCTCAATACCAAGAACATCCACTAGAGGTTGTGAGAGCTTGAACTTCTCAGGCACATAGTTCATTTCCAGCCGTATATTCACAGTAAACTCTTTATCCCCCTTTCTCCTCACCTCAAAGCCCTCATGAGGCGCAGGAGTTCGTGCATTTTCCCATATAATAATGTGATTATCAGGATATAGTCTCTGGTCCAACGAAATGGTTACTCTTTTGAAGAACGAGGAGAACTTGGGGTAAAGGGGGTTTGTCTTCTGAACCACACCAGGCTGATCAGGATCAATCCCATCTTCCAAAAGCCGCCCAACAATCTTAAGAGTCCAAGTAGGGGGCTCAGCATTTGGCTTCTGCGGTATCGTCCTAATCTGGTTAGCAAAAGTGTTGAACACATAAATTCTAAGGGTTTTCTGGACACAATGAGGGGTCTTGAGCGCCTCTTGGATGTCAACTTTCTTTCTGTTGAGAGCAGCATCAACACGAGCCTCGAACTCAAGAAGCTGTGTGTAAAGAGCGGATTCGGGAAGAATGGCAGCCACTTTGTCTTGCAACTGCTTCTCAGGAAGCTTCTGCTTCTTTCTACGAGCCGCTGCAGGGGTGAGCTCCATGGTCCTCAACGGCGACATCATGGTGGGAGAGGTAAGACCGGGAGGGCGTACAGGAGGCTTCTGAGGAATCCGTTTCATGCCTGCACTGCCAGTGTTCGACAGGCCGGGCGAAGACCCCATATTAGCAATTCCTTGATTCTGATTAAGGGTCAGCCCCTGCGCCTGCAAATGAGCTTGGAACTGAGCATGAGCTGCTTGAACCTGAGCTTGGGCATGTGCCTGAGCTTTTGACTGTGCCTGGGCAATGGCCTGTGCTTGGGATAACTGAAACTGATTTTGAAACCCAGCAGCAATTTGTGCTTGAGCTTGTGACTGCGGAAAATTCGGGTTTCCACCCATATTTGGGGCTACCATATTCGCATTACCAAAGGGTGATGAAGAGGCCCCAAGGCTCTTTGGTGGGTTATTACTATTAGCTGACATAATTGTACTCAAGCCAAAAAAAACAAAAAACAAAAATCTAAATCCAGCAAAATTCTAACTTACTACATTCAAAACCTGAATTCCAATAACAAAAATACTAGACCCCGTAAATAAAGAAACAAGCATGAAACTTTACGCAATTTTTTGCAGCGAGAAACGGAAAAGGTTCAAAATTTCAGGAAATTCAAACCTCTGAGACCTTGAAAAGCTCCAAATCTATAGGAAACCACTGTGGATCGAGAAAGAACTTTAAAACACGAACTGGGTAAGAAACCCTAGCGCGAGATGCTCTAAATTAGAAGCGAAATATGCCGAATTGGTGAGCTTAAGAGAATACCCGGATCATGGAAAAGCTCCTACATAAACATTTCTTCAGCAATCAATTGAGATTTGGGGAAGTGGACGAAATGGAAAATCAGGGAATTGGAGAGAGACAGAAAGGAGTTGAAACGAAATAAGAGACGAAATGGGAAATACCGAATCTTACAGAGTGTGAGGACTGGAGCAGTGCAAGGTTTTTGAGCTTTCTGGTTGTTTTGCTTTCGTCCACCTGAGGCCGGCGAGTGTGATCCAAGACTGGCCCCCTCTGTACTTTTTCCCCTCATGCGTGATTGGGTTCCTAATTCCTACAAGGAAAAGGCAAAATGGCCAAAACTCCTTTTTTTTTTCTTTTTTTTTTTTTTTTTTAATAATGAGATCACTATGCTGGCACATGCATATTAGAAATATACCCGATCTTTTTAGGCAACATTTACCGTGGAACACTCTAAAAAAATTCACTAGTGAGATTCTTAGTTGTTAGATTAATTTTTTAATGGTTAGATATGTATAATTTGTATTAAAAAAATTTATAACTTATCACATAGAGCTATTTTTATTGTAAATTTGATCGTTAAAAAATTAATCAAATTATAAAAATAGTGTTCACCAATAGGTTTTTTGAGATATTCTACTATCATTTTTATAACTGTTAAATTTACTTATGAAATTATTTATGTAATATATATATATATTTTTATTTTGATGTGATTTTAATTAATATAACAAGTCAGAAACATAAATACTGATATGAGATGCTATCATAAAAAAGATCCTTTAAAAGTGTTCAATAAATAAAGAATTTTACGCTAAGTACGTAAAAATAAGAGAACATTAGGTGATGATCGGTTTGACCACCCTTTTTTAATTAATGGCAGATCTTTTTTTTAATAGTTTGATCGATTTTTTTCTTTTAGATAATTATCTTTTTTTACCGTGATCAACCAATGATTTATCAGTGATAAATTAGTGTAATATTGATTTTAATTAACTTTTTCATACTTTAATATACGAGTTTAGTAAATATATTTATTATTAATAAGAAAAATTATTAAACTTACTATTAAAAGTGCATGAATTTAAATATTATTACTTACTCTTAATTAATATCTTTTTATTAATATAGTTATTTAATTAAAAATAGTATTAATTAAAAATAAAGAGTAAAATTTAAGATCCATACATTTTAAAAGAATATATGTCAATATAGAACTATCACAGGTTCTTAAGTTATGCTTCTGATTATATCACATATATCATTGAATAAATGCACAACTAAGAAAAGCGAATCATGATTTTGTAGTTCTATCAGTTGAATTATTACTTTCTAAAAGCATAAAACAAAAAAGTTATAAGTAGATATTACTATAAGGATCTTCAGGAGAAGATAATATTAGTCCCAGTTAAATTATCATTTTTTTTTATAATTAGTTAAATCATCATTAGCATATATAATTATTAGATATATATATAGATGTAGAGATAGATATGCACATGTATATTGACTACCTACGTGGTATCAAAGAATGCTAATTATTTATAGGAACACTATGCAAGACGACGGTCTTCATTGTGAGTCCCAGCCCAAAACCAAAAAGAACTCCCACTTAAGCCCTTCACCAGTGGTGCTCATTCCCCCTGTCAATTACTTATTCCTCATTTCGTCCAGTATAATATATATATATATATATGCACATAATTTTCCCTTATTTTTTAACAAGTGACGTTTGGTCTCTCGATTTTTTTCCTAATCAATTAATTTTTTTAACATGTTTGGCCCCTCATAATAAGATTGATGGTGGTTACAAAATAATAACGTTGTGTAAGAAAAATTTAGATTTGGGAGGATGAAAAGAATATAGAAAGCAAGAAGAGGGTTTGAGGCGTATAGGAATACTTTCTTTTAAGATTTTATTTGCCCTCACTTCTTAAAGTTTGCTAATGAGTTTTAATGGTAAATTACTCCCAAGATACAACAAACCCTTGAACACAATATCCAGCAAAAATATTGAGTTCCAGAACAATAATAAATATGTATTTTCTGAATACATTAATTAAAGACAGGGATGCATCTATCCTCTTTAATCGTTACAACCTTTCACATAAAGATACATTTTCCAATTTGAAGGTTATCTTTTATATGCTGATGCACTTATAATAATAGTTATTTCTATTGTTAATAAGTACTCAGATATGTGAGAAAACATATCATAAATGGATGCAATGGTTCAAGATCTTTTCAGATCACTAAAACACACGACAACACGTTTTCCGGTAGCAATTTGTGCTGCAGCGGATGACATTCACGCTGCAGCGCTCGGGCTTCGCAAAACAGACCCGAGAGGTCTGTTTTGTGCGCGCTGCAGCGCTTCCAATTTTTGTGATATTAAAATTGAGAGATATATTACAATCTCTCTAACAATCCCCCACTAGATTGTAATATTTCTTCAGAATTAACAACGATAAATACATACATACATGAAGGTATCTTTCGATTTTAACCTTCACTTAGTGACTATACTTCAAAGTATTCACAAGACAATAGTGTGCTTTGCATTAAACTTTGTCTCTTAAGCAAATACCGAAAATATATCACATATGTGTTATCCTAGACTTAAAAATTATTCCAATCGTTTAGCACTATTCCGGCCTTGTGCTCTATCTTGGATTCATGAACATTTACAAGACTAAACCAAGGTCTTGTTAGGAACGGCACCATTCCTTATGTTCACTTAGGTGAAGTTTGAATTATATCTCTAGCTACTATGAGACTCGAACTCCATTAAGAGTATAAACTCAACCTCAACCACGTAGCTATTTTTGCACCGATATCTTGGAAGGGACTAATTAAAGTTCGGCGCTAACCCGGTCACATAACAATAATTTGTTCTTACCCATTTAACTATGGAATAGCGGTACAACTATTACATAGTTGGGTTACCATCATTGGTGACTCTTTCAAAGAAAGGTTTCAGTCTCATTCCACTAGATGTTTATTTGACTAAGTCTCTTGAAAGACCTTTCGTCAAAGGATCCGCTAGGTTCTTGTTTGTCATAACATAAACAATATTAATAACACCATCGGTTATTAATTGTTTAGCATATTCATGTCTCAAGCTAATATGTCTAGATTTTCCATTATAAACTTTGTTATAAGCTCTAGACAAAGTAGCTTCACTATCACAGTATAAAGAATTAGATGGCATCGGTTGTGGCCACAACTCAATATCAAGCAATAGATTTCTTAGCCATTCTGCTTTTTTGCCTATAGCGGCAAGTGCTATAAACTCACTCTCCATCGTAGAGTGAGTTATGCACGTTTGTTTCTTAGAAGCCCAAGAGACGGCTCCTCCTGTAATTGTGAAAATCCAACCGGATGTGAATTTATTATCACTTGCACTTGTTATCCAACTTGCATCCGAGTACCCTTCAAGTACGGTCGGATAGTCATTATATGACAAACCCAAGTTAATAGTTTTTTTAAGATAACCAAGTACTCTTCCAATTGCATTCCAATATTCAATACCCGGGTTAGTCGTGAACCTAGACATTTTGCATACCGCAAATGCTATGTCAGGTCTTGTACAATGTATAGCATACATTAAGCTACCAATTGCACTAGCATATTCAAGCTGTGCCACCGCTCTACTTGCATTATCTAGTAATTTAATACTAGAATCATATGAGGTATTTGCTTCTTTAAACTTCAAATGAATGAATTTAAGAAGCATATTCTCAATATAATGAGATTGACACAACGAGTAACCCCCATTATGCTTCCTTACTCTTACACCTAAGATAATATCTACCTCACCAAGATCTTTCATCTTAAATTGTGAAGTTAAATATTTCTTGGTATCATTTACCCCTTGCATGTTTGTTCCAAAGATAAGCAAGTCATCAACATATAAACATATTATCACACTAAAACTATTTGTAAATTTAGAGTATATGCATTTATCCGCATTATTATGCTTAAAACCATGAGATAAAATGACATTATCAAATTTCTCATGCCATTGTTTTGGTGCTTGCTTTAAACCATAAAGTGACTTGACTAACTTGCAAACCTTCTTTTCATTTCCAAGTAGTACAAACCCTTCGGGTTATTCCATATATATTTCCTCATCAAGATCACCATTTAGAAAAGCCGTCTTAACATCTATTTGATGCACATACAAATTGCATATTGATGCAATTCCAAATAGCACTCTTATGGATGTCAATCTAGCTACCGGAGCATATGTATTGAAATAGTCTATACCACACTTTTGTTTAAAGCCCTTAGCTACTAATCTAGCTTTGAATGTTAGTATAGACCCATCGGTATTGTACTTTCTTCTAAACACTCATTTGTTGCTTATTGGTTTTGATCCCGGAGGAAGATCGACCAAGATCCAAGTTTGAATCGAGATAATCGAATCCATTTCATCATTCACGGCCTCTCTCCAAAAGGAGGCATCCCTTGAAGACATAGCTTCATTAAATGACTTTGGATCTTCTTCTATATTAAGCAACAATGGTATTTTATTAAGTACACCATTTCTATCTCTTTCAACCAAAAAGATTAAAGCTTGAGATGAAATAAAATCCGGTGCTAAGTCCTTTTATTTTCTTTCACGTTGACTTCTTCTCGGTTCGAAAGATGTCATAAACTCTTTCCTTTTATTAGTGGAGGTACCGGGAATGTCAACATATGGTCGATTAACATTAGATTCTAATTTAATGGAAGAATCAAGGCTAAACTTATTCTCAACAAATTCAACGTCTCTTGATTCCACAATAACATTAGAATCTAGATTCAATAATCTATAACCCTTGGAATTTTCAGCATAACCTACGAAAACACTTCTATTTCCTCTAGCTCCTAACTTTGATGATTTAGGGTCAATCATTCTATAGAAAGCTAGACAGCTCCACACCCTTAAATACATCAAGTTTGGTTTTCTTCCTTTCCATACTTCATATGGAGAGACATGTGTTTTCATAGATGTAATCCTACTGTGAACATGACATGCTATAAGTAAAGCTTCCCCTCATAAATTATTAGGCAATTTAGCATTAAGAAGCATAGAGGTAATCATATCGGTAAAAATTCTATTCTTTCTTTCAGCCAATCCATTTTGTTGAGGAGTAAAAGGGGCTGACTTTTGGTGAATAATTCCATGCTCTTCACAGAAAGCATCAAATTCATTTGAGAAATATTCACCACCTCTATCACTTCGAACCATTTTGATCTTCTTGTCTTTTTGGTTCTCAATGTCAGTCTTATATCAAAGGCTTCATCTTTTGTTCTAAGTAAATACACATAAGTGTATCTAGAACAATCATCAATAAAAGTGATAAAGTATCTCTTTCCTCCTCTAGTCAAAATTCCATTATACTCACAAATATCGGTATGAATCATATCCAATATTTGAGTATTACGTTCGGCTCTAGGAAAAAGGTTTCTTAGTCATCTTTGCTTGTATACAAATTTCACACTTATCATTTTTAATATCTTTGCAATTAATCAAATCATGTTTAGACATATATTTTAAAGATCTAAAATTTAAGTGTGCTAAACGTGCATGCCAAACATCAAAAGAATCAACAATATTAAGAGAATTCAC